TTATAATAATGACTATTAGGTCAAGAATTCCAACAATTACTTCTGCTCCTCTTACCCAGCCTCCTTCTTACTTCAAATCTATTTTAACAACTTTTACATCAGTCAGTGCTGATGATCTTGGGAAAGTGGTTCACAGTCTTAACTGTTCCACTTCTTCCCTCGATCCCATTCCCACCTCCTTTTTTAAAAGTGTTTTTAAATGTTTATCTAATAATATTTTAACTATTGTAAACACTTCCTTACAATCTGGTACTTTCCCCAGGTCACTGAAGTCATCAATAGTTAAACCACTTTGAAGAAACCCACTTTAGATCCCACCATTATTAATAACTATAGACCAATCTCATACCTGCCGTTTTTAAGCAAAATTATCAAAAAAGTTGTTCACAAGCAGTTGAGCGACCACCTTGCAGCCAACAAAATTCAGGATCTCTACCAATCTGGTTTTCACCCCAACCACAGCACAGAAACAGCCTTGGTCAGAGTTAATGATTTAAGAATATATAGTGATAATGGTAGAGCTTCCATTTTAGTTTTATTGGATCTAACCTCAACATTTGACATGATTGATCATGATATCTTAATGGAGAGGCTCGAGAGGTGGGTTGGCCTATCCGGGTCAGCACAGGACTGGTTTTTATCTTACCTTAGAGGACGTGATTTTAGTGTTTCTCTTGGGAATTTTAGCTCCGAAATTTTTTTAATCTCATATGGTGTCTCCCAGGGGTCAATTTTAGGCCCGTTATTCTTTAATCTGTACATGTTGCCCCTGGGTCAGATTATCACGAAACACAATGTTTGCTACCATAATAATGCTGATGACACACAGCTGTATATTTCCCTGTCCCCGATAACCTGAGCCCTATAGACATGCTTGCAGACTGTATCAATGATATAAATAGCTGGATGTCGTGTAATTTTCTACAATTAAACAATGATAAAATATATCATTGTATATCATTGTATATCATTGTTATCGGGCCAAAAGCACACAGACAGGAAATATCTTTTAAATTGTCAGAATTGGCTCTGGAAAATGTTACACAGGTCAGAAACCTTGACATCATCATTGATTCTGACCTCACCTTCCAGAGCCACATTAGCAGCATATTCAAAACTGTTTTTTATCATTTAAGAAATATTAATAAGATTAGGAGCTTTATATCCCTGGATGACACTGAAAGACTCGTCCATGCTTTTATCTCCAGTCGGCTAGACTACTCTAATGCACTGCTCACTGGAATACCTAAAAAGCATCTTGATTGACTGCAGCTACTCCACAATACAGCTGCTAGAGTTTTAACGAGAAAAAGAAAATAGGACCACATAACACCTGTGTTGAGGTCATTACACTGGCTCCCAGTAAATTTTAGAATTAATTTTAAAATTTTAATACTGGTTATTAAGGCCCTACTTGGGCTAGCACGTCAATATGTGTCTGACATGCTTGTGAGCTATGAACCAGGTCGATCCCTCAGGTCATCTGGAACGGCCGTCTGGCTATTCCCCGGGTCTCCATGAAAATTGGTGAGGCTGCTTTTAGGTCTTGCACTCCAAGCCCATGGAACAGCCTACCCAATCATGTTAAGTTTGCTCCAACATCTTTTAAAACTAAACTCAAAATTTTCCTTTTTAGCTATGCCTTTCAGTAGTCTGGCCAACTAGTTTTATTGGTTTTAATTATTTTAATGATTTTATCTTTTTTTTATCTTTTAGCAGTCCATTTCTGCTCTCAACTATTATTTTATTCTTACTCTTAGGTTTTATCTTTTATAATTTTATATTGTTTTAAACTAGTTTTACTGATTACTTGATGGCCATAACTATTTGATTGTTTTTTGCTCTGTGAAGCACATTGTGCTTCCACCTGGAATGAAATGTGCTATATAAATAAAGTTTTGCTTGCTTGCTTGCTTGCTTGTGTGTGTGTGTATGACAAGGGGATGTAATAGGTGTCACCATTGCAGTGGCTGTGTACAGTTGGTTGGTGGTTTGTTCGAACACCCCAACTCATTGCTGTTTTTCCATAGTGAAAATATAGCTTGACAAATGTATTTTGTCTTTTTCTTACTTTTTGCCAGCTCAAAGTTCAAAACCAGCTTCTGTGCTGGACTGAAGGTGTGTTAGTGCTCATGCCATCATGGCTAACTTGCACATATGTGAAGGCACCATGAATGCTGAAAGGTACATACAGGTGTTAGAGCAACATATGCTGCCATCCAGATGATGTGTTTTTCAGGGACGTTCCTGCTTATTCCAACAAGACACATTCTGCATGCATTACGTGGCTTATGCATTACGTGCAGTGTGGCTTCTTGTAAAGACTGCAGGTACTAGATTGGCCTGCCTGCAGTCTAGACCTGTCTCCCATTGAACATGTGTGGCACACTGGGCAGCTGTGGCTCAGAGGTAGAGCAGGTCATCCACCAATCGGAAGATCAGCGGTTTGATCCCCGGCTCCTCCAGTCTGCATGTCTAAGTATCCTTGAGCATGATACTAACCCAAATTGCTCCCGATGATGCTTCCATCGGTGTGTGAGTGTTATAAACTGAGTGGCAGGTGGCACCTTGTATGGTAGCCTCGGCCACCAGTGTGTGAATGGGGCTCGTAGTGTAAAAAGCACTTTAGGTGGTCGGATGACTAGAAAGGCGCTACACAAATGTAGGTCCATTTATCATTATAAAGCATACAATATGACAATGGAGACCCCAGATTGTTGAACAACTGAAGTTGTATATCAGGCAAGAATGGGAAAGAATTTCACTTTTAAAAGTTCAGCAATTAATGTCCTCATTTCTAAAACACTGAGGGCCGAATTCACAAAAGGATTGCGTGGCTTTTGCGGCCGCTAAACCAGTAAAAATGGAGCAAACAGATACTGTCCAATTCACAAAGCACGCGCAGAGGGTAAAATGCTCCACTAACTGCGCTGCCAAGCAGATTGCGTCTCGGTGCTCCGGTGTTATTTGCATGTATTTAAATGAGGTAATATGCATATATTTGGTGCAAAAATTGCGCCTTTCTATGCAAATGAGCCTCATTGATAAACAACGTCTAATTCACTGACACCAGCGCTAATAGCCACACGCAGTTTGAGTGAAGTAAATAACGTCTTTAGAAAGCTGGTGCAAACTGGGCGCTCCTCTGTTGATGCCTCTCGCCCAGACTTTTCAGTGATCGTGGCAGCAGTGATCTTCTGTTAAATCAGTCTGTAAATAATATTTTGACATTATTATTATAATCATTATTACTTTAATGGCATCTGAAGATACTGATGCATTGAACAGGTGACAATCTGCGGTTGTTCTCAAAATGCACTTCTGTCACGCACTTCAAAAGCAACTTTCAATAATTTATTTTACGAAACGGAGGAAACAAACATGAACAAAAACGGTTCCATAATTCATATTAGATTCAAAAGATAACGAAAAAACAGCTACAAGTGAGAGGAAATAGTGATAAAGTGGTCAAACTTGGTCAAATCCACAGCCTCAATCCATCCGACAGTGTTAGACTGACTCACCAGCAGACATCACTACATGAGGGTATACAGTATTCAGTACTTTGCCAAACAGTCTGCCATTGTTCTGCCACGGTGTTCTTGGCGCAAAGCCAACATTTATACTTTGCCATGTGGCTAATTGCAATCAGGGGCAAACTGCACTCAGCTGCCAAACTTTGTGGGCGTGTTTGCCCTGGTATATCATTAGCGCAATATCCTTTGTGAATAGGACGTTAAGACGGAGCAAACTGCGGGTGCAAGTGAAGTGCAATTCAAGGTGCTATCAGCGGCCGCAGTTCATTCTTTGTGTTGTGTTGTTAAAAGAAAAGGTAATGTCACACAGCAGTAAACATGCGCCTGTCTCAACTTTATAATAACATGTTGCATGTTGCAGACATTAAATTCAGAATGTGTGTATATTTACAAACAAAAAACAATAACGTTCATCAGTTTGAAGATTAATTAACTTGTCTGTTTACTGTATTCAATTGAATATAAGTCGAGAGGATTTTTAAATCATTGTATTCTGTTTTTATTTATATTTTACACAGCATCCCAACTTTATTGGAATAGGGGTTGTATCACAAATAACAACTTTTGATACTGCATGGGCTATTAAAGCTATCAGTCCTGACTACAGTTGATTGTTGAGGCGTGTTTAAGTAGTCATAATGCATGGGACTCCTGACTCCTGATGAGCTGACGTACTGCGGTAAGCGTGTTTGTTCAATTGCGATGCTTCTGTGATAGCGTCTTTGTGCTGCTCTGGCAAGCTCATACCAGCTTATTTCCTGATATATATTTCGATTGCTTCTCTCTGATTACCCTTTAAAAACTGACCTCAATGATTTCTTTATCTAAATTATCAACGTGTCTCTTTGACCCCATCCCAACTAGGCTACTTAAAGGAGTTTTATCTTTAGTTAACACTTCTATATTAGACATGATCAATATGTAACAGGCTATGTACCACAGTCTTTTAAGGTAGCTGCAGTTAAACCTCTTCAAAAAAGCCCACCCTGGAGCCAGAAGTGTTAGCCCACTATAGACCCATATCTAATCTTCCCTCTCTTTCAAAGATCCTTGAAAAAGTAGTCGCAAATCAGCTGTGTGACTTTCTCCATGACAATAATTTATTTGAGGAATTTCAGTGAGGATTTAGAGTGCATCATAGCACAGAGGCAGCACTAGTAAAAATTACAAATGACCTTCTGATTGCTTCAGACAAAGAGCTTTTCTCTGTACTTGTTTTATTAGATCTTAGTGCCGCATTTGACACAACTGACCATCAAATTCTGCTCCAGAGACTGGTACATATAATTGGCCTTAAAGACTCTGCACTAAGCTGGTTCAAATCCTACTGATTAAAGCAGAATTACACTGCTTTTTGTCACATTAATGGCAAAATAAAAGATTGTTAACGTCTTTTGAATTTAATTCACCTTATACTTTGCTACTATGCTGTATATTGTCGCACTGTTGCTGCTATTACAGTACCTGGCTGATGGAAGCTAGGGGAGAGCTCTCTGGCCACAGCTCTGGCAATATCTGAATCCTGACTGGCTGACTGTGCAGCCTGGTCTGCAGCCTCTGCTTTGGCCCGGGCATGGGCAGTCCTGTGAAAAAACACAGATAGACATAGTGTTAATTTTGCTACATATGGTCAATATGGTAGAGTCTAAAGAGAAATTTTTGAAATTGAAAGAGATTATTAACCTTTTTGTGATCAAATATTTGTTGTTGTACATGTACAAAATAGGCTAACCCACACAATGGCCATTCAAGCTAGAAAAAAAACAGCAACAACAACAGCTGAAAGCAAACATGAAACAAAAAATAAAAGAGATATCTAACATAAAAACAGGATGCAGGAGAGAAACTAAACTCCAAAACACAAAGAGAAACACAGAGGCTATAAAAGTACTGAGAGCTGCACATGCAGAGACTTTTAATGACACCTTTCTCTCTGGTCTCCTGCACACACAGATGTGAGTTGAGTCTTGTGACACACAGAGCTTATTTCAGGTGAAGAGGGGGTTGGGGGGGTTGGGGGGTTGAATGTAGTCGTTGAGATATTATCGCTACCCACTTGGAGGCAGTCAGGCACACTTATGGCCCTACTCCAGAGTTCTTACATCTCTGGCTCGGCACATTTAAACTGGATGGAAAGACAAATTAGTGTGATCCAAGAGCTGTGTGGCATTTTGGGCTAGTTGTCTCTACTTCCCTCTTCACTTTCTCCTTGATTTTCAACTTTCACAAACAGTATTAAATCAGTTCTTGCTGCCACAATAATTAATGTTCCCACAGCAAATAGTAGTTCCATTATGAACACAAGTTTTAAGGTACAGCATTTAAATCAAGGATTTTTGTCATTTGAGACACACACTTGGTGTTCCTCAGGGAACTGTTTCAGCTATGGCCTTAAAAGGGAACTAATGTTTTTTTTCACCCTGGCCCTATTTTCCGATCTACTTTTGTCTAAATGAGTGACAGGATGTTCAATATTTGACATTTAGGACTACAGGGATGTACACGGATGCAGAGCTCATTGAAACTGCAGAGTGGACGAGGAGAGGGAGCAGTGTTACTTCGGTAGCACATATACTAAAATTGCAACAGGCAGAGAAACATGTCCGAATCCAGCTAAAGGTAAACACAGACATTCATTTCTCCTTTTCGTTATGTTGTCTGATAATTATACTAACAATCCGAAACTATCTGTGTGGAAGAAAAAGCACTTTTAATGGACATATTTTGACGTTTGATGCTGTCTGAGTGCCCTATTATTTAATATAGCATGCGCTCACGGGCTGCAGGCAGGTCAGACCTAGCTTTGTACTGGAGAAACGTCAAATACTGAACATCCTATCACTCATTTAGACACAAGTAGATCGGAAAATATGGCCCAGGTTGAAAAAACATTAGTTCCCCTTTAAGCTATCTGTGGATTCTGTATTCTCTGAACACAGACCAATTTCATTGGGCAGGAGGTATTTTACCAAATACAAGCATCCCAGTTTGCAGTCTCTATGCAAACTGGGATGCATTCCACCAAACTGTTCAAATAAACTGCTTATCTACAACTTATCTACACTCACTCAATCTTTTAAAATGATGTTTCATTATTACCCATGGTACTATTTATACAGTATTTAGTGAAGTCAATTAAGAATCAAAATAAACCTAGAGTCACAACTGAAACCAAACCAGGGAAGCACCAGTGCAAAGGTCAGATTTCAGATCGTTCTTCCACACTGACCAAGGACAAAACTAGAAAAAGCACACTACTGACTGTGTGTGTGTGTGTGTTGCAGTTTTGGTGGGTGGGGGGTGGTGTTGGTCAGCTGTTGATAGGTTGTCCTCCTTGGCCTTATTTAGACAAGCACTGGTTCTGACGTACATGCAGGCACACACACACACACACACACACACACACACACACGCAGGCGCGCACACACGCACACAGAATCTTGCCAAGAATGCACAGGCACACACACACACACACACACACACACACACAAACACACACGCACGCGCGCACACACATGCACACACAATCTTGCCAAGAATGCGCCTACTTAATTCTCTCTATCTCCCTTTAGCCCACACATCTACACACATCTACTCTCCACTTCTGTTTTCTCACTTTGATCTCACTCTTTCTCCTCTCTCTGCTCTTCTCAGTTCCGAGGCTTTATTAGCATGATATTTAACAACAAATTTGCCGAAGCACCAAAGTACAAACTTTGCAAATATTTGGACACAATAACAGTTAGATTTGCAATAACACAACGTAGATAAAATACAGTAAATAGAATCATATAACATGTGTATAGGTATAGGTTGTAGGTCTTAGTGTGTGTGTGAGTGTGTGTATGTTGATGAAGGACTGATGTTTTAGGGAGGGCAGTATACGGCCTTTTATAGGCACAAAAAAGTTTGGGATTTTGGGATTAACAAATCATATTTCTTGGTATTCCACCCTGATAATACTGTAATATATTTGTCACAATTTAAGAGGAAGTACATCTCCTTATATCTATTCATTCATTCATTCATCTTCTAACCGCTTCATCCTCTTGAGGGTCGCGGGGGGGCTGGAGCCTATCCCAGCTGACATCAGGCGAGAGGCAGGGTACACCCTGGACAGGTCGCCAGACTATCGCAGGGCTGACACATAGAGACAAACAACCATTCACACTCACATTCACACCTACGGACAATTTAGAGTTACCAATTAACCTAGTCCCCAATCTGCATGTCTTTGGACTGTGGAAGGAAGCCGGAGTGCCCGGAGAGAACCCACGCTGACTCGGGGAGAACACATATACATATAGCACATATGTGCAAACTCCGCACAGAAGGGCTCCCACGCCCGGGATCGAACCGGCTTGCTGTGAAGCAAGAGTGCTAACCACCACACCACCGTGCCGCCCTCCTTATATCTATATCTTTATATATAAATGCACACACACACACACACACACACACACACACACACACACACACACATTCTCTCTTTTTCTCTCTCTCTCTCCTGTGTGTGTGTGTGTGTGTGTGTGCATTTATATATAGAGATATATGTGATGATGTGATGTGTGATGTGTGATGTGTATGGGCAGCAGTAGCTCAGTCCATAGGGACTTGGCTTGGGAACCGGAGGGTCGCCGGTGCAAGTCCCTGCCCGAACCAAATATATGGAGCGTGGAATGGTAGCTGGAGAGGTGCCAGTTCACCTCCTGGGCACTGCCGAGGTGCCCTTGAACAAGACACCAATCCCCCCCAACCGCTCAGGGGTGCCTGTCATGGGCAGCACCTTCACTCTGACATCTGACATTATAGGTTCTGTTTCTGCATGTGTGTGTATATGTATATGACAACAGAGTCAAAAGATTGAATCTCCCCTTGGGGATTAAGAAAACATACAAAATTAAAAAAAAAAGTGTGACATTCTTAGCACATTAAACCATGCTGAAAATTAGAGCAGTATACTATAACAAGACAATAAACCGATGATGCAGCGTGCCATGTCATATTTAATTGATACTGCTGAAGATGACAGCTCTGAAGTACTGATGTCTCTGTTTGCTGAATGCCTGTTGCCTCAGCTCCTCTCTGAGAGTGTCCCTTTGTTGCCTCCTTCGCATGCATGATGCTACTGTTTTTCAATTTTACCCTTGGTCTGACTGGTATCGCCTATAACTTGCTTTAAAACTGTGAAGATGACATGGGACAAAAAGGTCACTTTTGTAATCAAATACATCCAAGTTTAAGCAGTATGTAGTGGAGCTGGGCAGTATATGGCCAAAATTGTTAACAATAAATGTCAAATCTTTAGTTGTTTTAGGTTTGAAGGCTGATTTTTGTTCCTGAGTGAATGTTAAAACAAAAAACAGATGGTTGATTGTGGTTTTAAACAAGTTACAGAATGTGTTTGTTACAGCTGGCTGCGGCCTCTCTGTGTGGAGTTTGCGTGTTGTCACCATGGGTTTTTTCCAGGTACTCCGGCTTCCTCCCACAGTCCAAAGACACATAGGTTAGGGTAATTGGTGACTTTACTTTGGCTGTAGGTGTGAATGTGAGGGTGGATGGTTGGTACTCGGTGACCCTGAAAAGGATAAGTGGCCGCAGACAATGAATAAATTAATGAATGTTTGTTTCACTGTAGTTATTTTATTCAACCGTTATTTAAACAGGTAATCTCATTGAGACACAGGGTCTCATTCTCAAGAGAAATTTGTTTAAAATTGCAGTTAGGCTGTGTTCTGGGTCTGCTTTGGGGCCTCCTACCAGTGGGACGTGCCCAGAACACCTCCAACAGCAGGCATTCAGGAGCACCCCAACTGACTCCCACCCAACTGACCCCTTTCAAAGCGAAGGAGCAGCGACTTTACTCCCGAGCTCCCTCCGCATGTATGAGTTCCTTACCCTATTTCTAGGGCTGAGCCCAGCCATCCCATGGAGAAAACTCATTTCAGCCGCTTGTATCTGTGATCTCATTCTTTCGGTCACTGCCCAGAGCTCATGACCATAGGTGAGGGTTGGGATGCAGATGGAGCAGTAAATCGAAAACTTCACTTTATGGCTCAGCTCCCTCTTCACCACAACGGTCTGGCACAACGCCTGCGTCACTGCAGAAGCCGCGCCAAACCACTGATCCATCTCACGCCCCATTCTATCTTCACTCATGACGATAGATACTCCAACTCTCTCGCTTGAGGCAGTAACTCTCTCCCAACTGGGAGGGGTCAATCCACCGGTTTTTGGCAGAAAACCACCTCAGATTTGGAGGTGCTGACCACTTCACACTCGGTTGTAAATGGCCCAAGTGCATGCTGGAAGTCAGGATGTGATGAAGCCAACAGGACAATCATCTGCAAAATACAGAGATGCGATTCTGAGGTCCCCAAATCCCTTCATCCCGCCGGCTGCGCCTCAAGATCCTGTCCATAAATATCACAAACAGGATCGGTGACAAGGGACAATCCTGGTGGAGGCCAACACCCACCAAGAACGTGTTTGACTTTATGTTGAGTATGTGGATGCAACTCTCACTTTGGTCATATAGGGACTGGATGTCTCGTAGCAGCGAGCCAGGTATCCCGTAGTCCCG